TTGAGTCGTTTGCACTGCGCATTTTCGTCCCCCATTCTTTCGTTGACCCCCCTTTTGCGAAAAAAAAATCAATTCTAGGCTCGTCTTCAATTTGAATAACAAAGAGGCGTAAAATTATATAAATCTACATTTTTGGGGGCGACACCTTTCCTCGTCGCGGTTCGTATAAAACGACTTTTTTGCGAATACATTTACAACTTGGGGGAAGTCTTTATTTAGATTGTTTGGGCCGAAATCCAAAGACTGCCTCATTACGGTGGCATAAAGGATATTTCGTATTCGAAAGAAAGCGCTCGCCGGTTTCGTGGGCGAATTTGTGGTTTTTGAAAAAGTGGTGGATTTGATTTCGTTCTTTTCACTTTGACTCGAGCTTTTGCCCTAGGGTCGACACTTATCAATCGAGGATTAACGTTGGGGTCATCGCTGCCCGTATAATTCCTTCGAAATTGTTTTTAGATAGTCACTTGAATGTTGGCAGCATAAAATGCGAATTTCAAATTCAGGAATTATTTTGTTTTTTTTTAAACGACTGGCAGGGGGGGTTGTTCTAATTGTTTATTTTTTTAAAATGAAAATATATACGCATGTTCGAAAGTTGTATTTTTCTCAATTTAAAATTAAGCAACCATTTTGGATAACGTTTTTACAGTAAGTAGTTGTATTTTTTAAGACTTTAACAACAATAATAATAATTCACAAAATATAGAGCCAGTCACCCCGAAACCTCCATAGAAAGATTCTATCAACCAAGAAAGTGAGGAGCAAGAGGTGTACTACACCTAAACAACGCCCACCAAGAACGAGTTGACGAATTGAGACGGTTCTTCTATGAAAAAAGCACAACATCCACGTACCACCGCAACATCGCGAATGCAGATCAGAAACTCACTCCTCTTAATATGGCGGATAAAGACTATCAACCATTGCTAGAAATAACCACTGTTGACAGTGGACATGGACGATACCCCGCTACAATTGAACTCGACCAAATAGAAACGAATGCCTCCAACGCCTGGTTAGAAATGGAAATAGATGGCTTTATGCATGCCATTCAAGACATTAAACTACCGCAAGTACAGAGGTGTCATCTTGTAGTGCAGAATGTGCCACCCAAATCAGACATAATACCTCATAAAGCACGATAACACAGCTAAAGTAATACACCAGGATAAAGCCCAAAGAACTGGTGTTATTATGCCTATACGCCAGAACCTGTTAATGAAAGTGGAACCCACAAAATTTACTGAAACAGAACCATACCAACAGATCACACCATTACCTTACCTGAGTCCGAGGATACATGCCACTCGCCGCCGAAGTGAAAACAATCTGGAACCAAGAAAAAGCGGTTATTGTGGGAGCCCACTGGTGAAATACCTCTAAAACTACAGTGGAGCCTTCAAACGCTGCAAATACCACCGAAACAGTACCTTAAGTTTCAGGAGATGGCCATACTACGAATTCAATGCTGCGATTCCAGAAAACAAAACTATTTGGGCACTTGCTGAAAGCCGTGTCCAAAGTACTTATCTGTGGAATAATAATAATAACAATAATATTAAGATTACAAGTCCTTTCTTTTGGCACTTGCTTTGCTTGCGTTTAACAATACATCTTACGAAAATATTTCCAGGGTCCGGACCCGATTCCGCGATATGGACGAAATTGCATTTACAAATTCGCCGGCGAAGTCGGAAAAACTATAAGCTCGCATTCCGTTTTCTTTTGCGTATGCAAAACTTTTTCCGTAGACGGGAGTTTTCATTTGATTTTAAAGGGAGTCGGGCGGGACGCCAAAAAAGATATCGGCAGCCCCTTTTTCGAAAATCTCCGCGGAGCGGTATGCAAATTGCCCGAAAAGCCCGGAAAGTCCCTGGCGTGCTTCTGCGCATACATTCCATGATTTCGAATAGAAACTTTCTACATCGCGTTTAGTATTGAATTCGGAAGGTCTAGCAAAGGCTTAGTTTTGAATATTACTTCCTAATCAATATTTTAAAAATAAATTTAATTGCCGAAATTGGCCGACAAACAGAATATTTTTTTTTATTGAATTAATCAATATCAAGAAAACAAAGCAATTTTGGGAATACCTATTTTGATTTTTTTCACACACACGTAGGTTGTTGTGTAAGTTCCTTTCCATATTTTTTGCTTTATCTTGGGGAAGCTAGTCAACGCATAGAAGTGGGTGTCCCTCGAGATTCAGGTTTAAGCACTGAACTCTTCTTTGTGATGTATTGGGATGATCTATCCTTGGTATTTTCGTGTAGAAATGACAGAAATCAGTGCTGCAGGGTACTCAAAAAATTAATCAGGAAATCTATCAGAAACATTGTGATAATTTTAATATCTGAGATGACACTATCTCAAGTAGATATACTATAGGGTGTCTAAGATTGAGATGTTTAAATTGGAAGTCTCATTGCGATACTCCTATTTCCTCCTCCTATAATCTATATTTTTATTAACGAGTATTACATACATTTCCACACTGGAGAGTCTTTTCATCTTTGGGAAAGTAAATATTATTATTGAATAAATTTTTCTTTCAAACATTTGAATCCACTCTGCTCTATCAAAATAAAGTGCGGGAATTTAAAAGACCAGATTTGGATAGATCCAACTTGCTAATTCTATCATCAAAATCAAAATAATCTTAATAAATAATAATAATAAAAATAAACTAGACAAGACGGGTCACTCTTCAGAATTTTTCATTGATTAATTTCCTGAAACCCTCTTCGCAGTTAAGAAAAATGATTGCAAAAAATATGCAATATTTTGGCAGTATATTATTAATAATCAATAAAAATTCGTCACAAGGTTGATTAAAGGAAAGAACTTTAACCAAATCTAATATTTCAGATAGGTGTCCCGACCTAAGCCCTTTTCATTGGATATCATTTGCTTTTTACCTGGGTTTGGGTCAATTTATCGGTTCCTGCCATTATTATCTATTCAGCAACACGCAGAGGCTCTGGACGGAATCGAGTGTGGGATTAAGGTCAACGGGAAAATAATCAACAACATCAGATATGCCGACGACACCGTTGTACTAGCCGAGAATGCGCAGGACCTGCAGAGGCTAATGGATCACATAGTGCGATATAGCGAAAACGCTGGCCTCCTCATAAACACTACAAAAACTGAGGTCATTGCATTTACCAAGACACCTGTTCAGGTTCGTCTGAATGTTGATGGTGCTGCGGTGGAACAAATATTTGAAGAAGTCAGATGCCGCGTAGAACAGGCCAGAAAAACATTCTTGAATATGAGACGACTTTTCGTGAGATCAGATTTGAGCGTGGAGCTCAGGGTACGCATGGCCAGATGCTATGTTTTCTCGGTTTTTCTGTACGGATGTGAGAGTTGGACCCTAAACCCATCACTAGAAGAGAAAATAAATGCATTTGAAATGTACATTTACCGTCGTAGAATATCATGGGTCCAAAAAGAACTTAGGCTTACCATCATAGAAAGAAAAATTCATTATATTCGGCACATAATGCAAGGTGGAAAGTATGAACTTCTGTGCCTAATCATAGAAGGCAAAGTCCAAGGCAAACGGTCGGTTGACAGGTGCCAAAACTCTTGGTTGAAGGACATTCGACGATGGTTTGGTTGCTCATCGCTCGACATCTTCCGCATGGGCGTATCTAGAACCACGTTAGCTATTTGGATCGCCAACCTTCGAAAGGAGACGGCGCCATAAGAAGAAAAAGCAACACTGGAAATGATGTGCCATGACGTCGCGTAAAAAGGAAAGAATTTGATTTTAGTATCATCAATTACCGAATCATTAAATAATCGGTACCTTGCTGCCCTGATAAGCTCTTCTATCGTGCTTAATGTCTAATATTTCTCCCCTGTGACATCTGCATTCTTCCTTAGTTGCAGCAACAGGTATTTGCGATGTCTAAGAATAGTCCAAAACCATTCTGGGTCTATATGAATTCTACTTAATATTTTTTTGATTGTTTAGACTCTAATACTGCTGTTCGTAAAATATTTTTTTTTAATTCTAATCATTTTTTTTAGACAGAAAGCCCTACAATTTTTGTATTGAAAGTTTTTTTCTAAAACACTCTTTTATATATTGCAGGTTTAGTCGATTTAATACTCAATGTATATAGAATCATAAGCAATATTTAATAAACATTTTTGGAAGATTTGGGAGTATCTTAAAAATGAAAATAAATTGATATATCCTTTTTTTAATTATTTTTTTATTAGCTAAAATTGGGGTATAATAATGATAATTTTGATATGAAGTCTATGCAAACACACATGGCATTCGTTTATTTCACTTCTTTGAGTTTTCTTTTTTACCCGAAACATGTCTAAAATTAGCTTTGATTTGTAAAAATAAGCTCAAATAACTCGTTAATTGGTTTACTATGATAACTTTGGCGTTAACACAAGTTTTTCCGCTTATACTGTTTGTCGAGTATTTAAAAAAAAAGCCCTACTGTTACATTTAGTAAAACGAACTAGACAAAAAGGGTCACCTTACACACCGCTCCTAACATTCTATCTCGCTCGCCCTTCCGTACCAACCCGCGCGTGTGGACGCGTGCAGCTACAACACGTAAAAGTGTCTAACAAGGCGACATTATTCCCCAGATTAAACACTAGCGGGATTTTCAGAGACGGCGGAAAAAATACGATGGCAAATAAAGCTAGAGCGAAACGCGAATAAAGGTTTGAAAAAGAGTTCTCTCTGGCGGTAACTTCGTTTAAGTCAATAGAAACAAACAACACAATGGCGGTCGCGTAGGGAGAAGGAAAACGGAACGGGCCTGTTTTCTAGGTAAACCCGGGCAAATAAATAGCTATTGTTTGTCGCTCGGTTCGAAAGGCATTAAGCAGTAAACTCTGCGAGCAGCATAGACAAAGACAACCGCGACCGCGTTCATCTCTGTACGCTCAACTCACCTGGATATTATTCGTTCCCCGGTGTATTTTGGTACGAGTGACGTTTCGGATCTTTGTTTCAGTACGAACCGCTTCAGGGCAAGACGGGCGCCAACGGACTTCAGCACCTCGTCCTTTACGAATGTCAGGATAACCCGCTGGTGGAAAAACTGGCGGACTCCCCCGGCAGGCAGTGTCACGACCTGCACTCGCAACCCTTCATCATCTGTAACACCGTCGTCGCTAGCTGGGCCCGGGGGTCCGAGGGGTTTAGTTTCCCCCCAGAGGCCGGCTATCCCTTGGACTCGTCTAGCAGGTAAACGTTCCTCTTTCAATTTAACACCTGACAGTGAATTTATTTGGTTTGGGAAGTCTGGCAAGTTAATAGATTTATCTCGATAGTGAATTTTATCCGATTATGTAATGAGTTAATGTAATTTAAAAAAGAATTCAGTTGTTTGTCCGTTCCAAAAAAGCAAGCAAAGACCTCATACACGTATCTATAACATCATAGAAACCTTTTATCCATAAAAATCTCGGCTAACAAAGGACTAAGTGGGTTTCCCATAATCAAACCTTCCTTAGAGATGTAAATCTGTCTATTAAATTCAAAATAATTTTGGTCTAAAGATACTATTAAGCAATCTAATAAATCTTGTTTCGCCAATGTTTTAACCTGTTTCCAATTGAGGGCGAAATCTACAAAATCTATAACATCCATAGGTGGAGTACTGGGAAATAAGTTTTGTACATCAAAAGACAATAGTGGTGCGTTAGAAGGGTTTTTGATATCTTTAATTTTGTTGATTAATTCAAAAGAATTTTTTATTGCAAATTTTGGTTTAAGATCCGTGTGGAACTTTAAAATATTTACTAATTTTGTTGAGAGTTTAACTGCTGGAGCTGTTACATAAGACACGACTGGCCTAATGGGCATATCTTGTTTATGTAATTTACACAAAAAAATATAATATTTTCTTGACTTGTCTTTGATATAACTCGGTAGGATCGTGTTTGATACATACGTAATTGAGTTATATTTTTGGAGATCGATAGCTATGACTATCTTCCCTTTATGTGCATGTGTAAATATGTTATTTTCAGAAGCTTTGTTTTTGATAGTTTTTACTAGTGACAATTGAGAAATTTCTTGGTGTTTGTTGGTGTCTATTAATTGAGTGTTTATTATATTCGCTAATACATGTTTGTTTAAATTAGAATCGTTAATATCCCTAACTGCTAATTGACAGTCGATCCCTAATTATCTGTTATTGTTCTAGTGCTGTAAGTTAAAGTTGAAGCTTGTTTACAGAAATTCAACTTCATTTTTAGAAAATGTCCTGTCTATGTTATGTTATGTAGTTTATGTTGTAAAATTGGTGATCGGTATACTTTGTAATAACTGGTTCGTTGTTAGATATTTTTTTTATTAGAAATTAATTTGTCTAACTTGAGTTTTTGTCTCGGAAACTTTTGTCTCGAACTTTATAATCAAATGTATCAAATTCTATGTGATTAAATCTATGAGGCAATTCAGAATGTATTAAATTACCTTTACATAAATGTTGTTTATATCTCGTTTTCTGTACTCGTGTCTTCGTTCCTCCTCCATCCATCTCGTTTGGCCTTGGATCTGGGCTTTCCTGGCAGCGGGACTTCTGTTGTTGTTTTTTAATTTAATAAACTTACGAAAAACCTTATTTTGTATACAGGGAAAATTATTCATAGGAAAAGCCAGAGCGACCTTTAAACGCATGAGCCATAACCTCAGTCTGAACACGAAAGTAAGACTTTTTCGATGCTCCTACGTTTTCTTTGATGGTACCGAAGTTGTCTTTCTGTGGTGGTAACATCATTGCATGACTGAAAGGCTAACAAAAATTTTAATCATCCAACTTTCACTTGCAATATATATTTCTAGCCTCATTTCCTGAAGGCATCTTAGCACCCCCCCTGACGGGCCCTCCGTGAAATGGTTATGTTATGTCTTGCAATATAGCAGTCAAAGTACATTATTGTTGTTGTGCTTGTCCCAGGCGAAATCCATACTATTAAAAGTGATCAATAAATGTTTTCTAATTATCAGCTGCTATCCTGGACAAGGTTCATTCAAAACTTGTAGAACTTTTCTTCAAGTTGCAACGTTGGTGTTTTCATTGAGCACTTTTACTGGTTTGTCTGGAGTTATCTTGCTGGGACTCATATATTTCTCTAATTTGGAAACTTTTTTTGTAAATGATTTTACTGACCTTGTTCCAGATATTATCTGTTAGAAACGCACTACACGAGCACACCAGACGCCACTATGGGCGCCATCGACGGTTCTGGTCTACGTTTGTTCTACACCCCCCAGTTGCGACGTCACGACGCCGGAGTAATCTCCATGGGCATGGACCCCAACTGGCGCCACATCATCCCTCCAGGTCAGAACAAGGTGGTGTCGTCCGGACACTGTATTCCCGATTGCACTCGTCAAGCGTTCCCCCATTCTGGTATCAACATGTTCGCGGTCGTGATGAAGACCCACAAAATTGGACGCCAGGTGGCGCTGAGGCACATACGGGGCAGCAACGAGTTACCACCCATCGCCACCGACGACAACGTGGATTCGGATTACCAGGAGTATCGGAAACTCGGTGTGCCTGTGCGTATATTACCTGGCGACCATTTGATTACGGAGTGTACGTACAATAGTTCCGGGCGTAGTGCTATAACGTTGGGTGGGCTGACGAGTAGGGAGGAGACGTGTTTGGTGTTGGGACTGTACTATCCGCGTCAGAAGTCGTTGGCCGCGTGCCACAGTTTGCCTAGTCTGCCCACTGTGCTACACTCGTTGGGGATCCAGGAGCTCAGCCCGTAAGTATATTTTAACTTTATATTTAGTGCAGGGATCTCGGGCGCTACAGCATATAACAAATAAGCAGTTTTATAAGCTCTAAACAAAAACATATTTAGATGACTTTCCATTTAAAATTTTATGGGCGCTTAGGGTCGCAAAACATAACCAAGAAGACCACAAATGAAGTATGGATTTAATGTTGGCTGTGGTGTTGGGGGTTCAACGATTCTATTAACAGCGTCCCATATCTTCACTTTCTTTAAGATGATTTCGAAGATTTGTTGGGCAATTCTAATAGTTTGAAGTTACTTAAATAAATTATTTCGAAATTGTTGGACAGGAGGTTTTGTTTTTGTTTTATGGCCACCATGATCGCCCGATCTGTAGGTTGTAGACTTTTTTTTTTTGAGGAAGCTGTAAGAGACAAGGTTTAGGGTAAAAGGAACAAATTTTAACCAGCTGTAAATGAGGCTAAGGTTGCAATACAATACATTGCTATGTTAACGATACTAGTATTCTCTTTATTTTATGTAATGTTCTTTTTTCCGTAGAAAACTAGGGCAACAAGGTCAATTTGAAAAAAAATCAAGAACGCTCTTGACAATGTTCTTTTTAGATAGCCTTATAATTTGCTATATTTATAATGGTAATAAAATTCCTTTTTTAATAGGGATGATAGTTTCCATTAAGATATACGTCATATGTCAAAAATGACAACTACGAGGAAAAATATGCTGATGTTGATTCCTAAAGCTTTTCTATCTATCTTTTTTTTTATGTCGATGTTTATGCAACTAGGAACATTTTAAAAAATCGCAGAAAATTAGATTTATTATTATATTATACTGCTACGGAACCTGGAAAAACCCATAGCGGTTTTGAGTGTAGCTTACAAAAATGAGGGCGTACAATGATGGAGTAAAGTTCATTATCTCATTGGTTTCAAAAGTTATGAGCAAATGCTAAATACGAAGATTTTTAGTATGGACAATTTACCTTTTTTTGTACATGGTTTTCATTTAAACTAACCAAATATGTATGCTTTTTTTTGGCTATTATCTTCCGAATGAAAATAAGTGAGTTTATTTATTATTTTTAATTATTACCTATTATTTACTTACTACGTTAATATTTACATAGAAAACTAAGTATCGAAAAATTTCATACACAAAGATAATATGTATGAATAATGAAATAAGAAAATAAAAAATTTAGAAATGTATGTATTGAAGATCAAACCCAATCAAATATTATTTTATATTTTCGTCCACTGAACAATAGTTTTTATTTAGCAAGAAAGATTTTTAAAGAATTTTTTTCTCGAGGTTTAAATAATTTATTTAGGATTTTTTTACGCATCTAGGTTAAATCTTGCTGTCCAACGTCTTAATGATATTTTCGTCATGATTGAACGTTATCAAAGAATCCATAGAGAGACAAGAAAAAGTAAATATAATGTATTTTTTAAAATATTCAAAATATACAAGAGTCTGAGCTGCTTATGCCGCCACGTAGGCTTTTTTTATACAATCAATATTTGTCAAGAATTTCTTGACGTATAAGACCAAAATAGATTCATTCATTCATTGTGAATTTTTGATCAATAAGTAATGCATAAACGTTGGCTATTATACCAATGTGACATTACAGTACAATCCTGATTATCTGATTCCCGATTATCCTGTTTATCCGAAATAAAATATTAAAAAACAAAAAATCATATTTTTCCGTGAACAAGTTTCAAACAACGTCTTTTATTAACGCAAGAAGAGTAGTTTTGGTTAGTTAGTTAGAATTTGGTTTTGTACCATAGATTTTGCTTTTCGGATATCGCCAAAGAAAAAAGTCCAGGGGTGTTTGGTCTGGCGATCGAGCTGGCCATTCAATGGGGCCTCGTGTTCCAAACCGAATGTTAGGAAAAGTACTACTGATATTAGAAATAAAATTTTATACAATAGTTTTAGTTTTTGTATAATTTTTTTTCGAAAATCAGTAGTTCCTGAATACATTCCACTAATAAAATTCCCACCCTGTACGCAATATTATGTTCCAAAAAAATTTGAGAAATTAGAATTAAATAAATTATTTTTTCTGTTTTTTGTAAAAATTCAATTAAAGTATTTCGTATGCCTTTAAGTCGATCTAATGATATACTTATCCCAAACTCCTACGTTCGAAATCAATTTGGACAATATTTTTTCGGATAATCGGGACTATACAGTAAATGTTTTATGTCCGATAAATGGGCAATGGACTTTTGCCTCTGTTCCGCAAAAACCGTTGACGAGAATCGATAATCTATCAATTGGTAGTTATAGAAGGGACGACAATTTTTTCTTACCGCTTACGTCAACGTTATTATTATTTCAAAGGGCGCGACAAAGGATTCGATTTAAACCGGCGTCTTTTGTTCTTCCTTTGCAGCGGATCGAACCCGGTGAGGATAGCGGCGCCTCCCGAGCTGGCCGGGATGACTCTGGAATCGAGATTGGTGTCGTACGACTGGGATAATCAGTTTAATAGTTTCCAGGAGGCGACGATGAGGGGATCCTTCAAGCCGATTTGTTGGACGTCGCAGTTGTCTTTGTTGCCGGTAAGCGTTAAAGTATCGAACTGACTGGGAAAACCAGATAAAAGCGTTATTTAATCGATGAAATCGATTTAGAGCGAAACTTTTAAAACTTAGATTCTTCTTTATGCTTCGCGAGCCGCGCGTTTCAAAATGGCCGCTCTTCCACCTCGGCTGTGTTTTTGTCATTGTTATTACAGAAAGTAAGCGTCGGGAATTTGAAGTTCAAGATATATTTGCAGAGGTCCAAGGAAAACATAATATCTCTTGAACCGTGTGTCGGAACTCAAAAATTCTTGAACCAAAACATGAGCGAGACATTGGGTTACAAACTTCTTTATCCGTAATGTACCAAAAATCTACAGGGTGTATCGGTTGTGAGCTCAAAAATAGTTGGAAATTTTTGTTGGGTTCCACAGATTTTTTCTTCGAAATGATTTACCCAGAAGCCACAAAGTTAGTTAGGTTGCATATTTGAAAGGCACATAATACAGGGTGCACGCAAAAAGGTCCGTTGATTTTGCGAGTTAGTTAGTGGTCAGCAGGATCACTATAGAGAAAGACGAAAATGGTCTAGTTGTGAGTGCTAAATATTGAATATATGGCCATGGCCATTACATAGAGGATCATCTAGAAGTTTATTCATAAACACGGTAACGTTTGGTTTCATTTCAATATAATCCTGCATTTGTATAATGGAAACAATTACCTTAATGTGATATAAGGATAACGGGATCTGATATATCTATAGTCAAATTTAAAAAGGCCTAAAAGAACTCTTCTTTTGAATTTGCTTGTCAGTAGATTTTTCGTTACATTTTTTTTTCTATTTCTCTTTTACGTCCCCAAAAAGCGTATACTCTTGATTATTATGAATGATAATAGAAAATGAAAAAAAAAAACTTGATATTAATATATTTTTTAATTACTGTAAGTCCAGATATTTTAATGAAATTTGAAATGAATCTTTAATTTTATTTTTTCGAAGAACACTGGTTGGTAACTAAAAATTAGATATTTTGTTTTAGATAGATATTTTGTTTTCACACGCATGCGTGCTGTCATATTGACGATATTCTTATGACTATGGAGAGAAGAGGTTTTTATTTTTTTAAAGCGAAAACCGTAAATCGATTGAAAAAATTCAACAAATTTAATTTCTTTACAAATGCTTCGAGATTGTAAGAATAAATTTCATTTTTAGAAAATATCTATTTTGTTTATTTTTATGACCTTTGAGACATATCGCTCCTTTAATTTTCAATAAGAAAACACACTATATTTTATTATTGCTACCATCACCCTATATAATCTAAACGGTCGCATTTCCCTAACCAAACGAGACGACATCCAACGAAGAAGCTTCACGGAAAACGAAAAAAAAAAACAACGGGTTTAAGCGACGACATCGTATAACCCTAAAAACAATCGTTTCAGCGAGAGGAAATCTCCAAGGAGCATCTTTTAACGAACTTATCGCTAGTTTCCGGGACCCTGAAAACGGCACGGCGTTTGTCTCGCTTAATCAAATTAAAATCAGCGTGGAAAATAAAGATCTCACGTTTTTCGCTAATATCGTGTCGACGGTACGACCCAAGTAACTTCTGTTTGCTTTGCCGTTTCTTCTTCTTCTTCTTCTTAGGTCAGGCCTTGGGTCTATGAATATTGTTATTTTATTATTATATAGTATTCATTGTCATAATTTTTTTTTATATATATAATGCACATACAATTAGAAGTCCAACACATCTCACCAAGAGAATAACTGTAGTTTATACTGAATACCAAAATCCACCAAATTCAATCCTTGAAGACATTTATTTAAAACCTTGGTAGAACCAAAAAAAAACTGAAAAAAGAAAATAAAAAACATTAATAATGGAGGATTTACATTACTGATTTCTACTAGGTAAACATACATGTAAAAAGTATTTCATTTAAAAAGATTTGGACTGCCATTTTTTGAAAATAAAGTTGTCTTCCTTCGAGCGTATCTGGTTCATTAAAAATTTGTGTTGTTGGATAACACCTACCTCTTTTATAAATAATGTTAAAAATCCATTTTTGTCAAATGTTATTTCCTTCTAAATATTTGTTTAGCAACTCACCCTTTGCTAAAATTTCGTAATTTAAGTGCGATTGATCGAGTCCCCAGGTCGAGGTTTTAAGTTGGTCTAACTCTATTTTTTTTTCAAAGGCAATTGTTACATATTTTATTGTTTTAAAAAATCTGTGTGTTATCTTGTTTTTTGTACTACTATTTTGTTGGTAACTATACTAAAAACAGAATCGGGAAAAGTATATTCTTAGATGGCTACACTAAAATCTTTCATATATTTTTTAGTGGAATACATTTAAACTCGGTGCATTTTGAATCTCCCGAGGGAGAGCATAAAAAAACCCTCAAAAAACAAAGATCTCTGCGGAGAAGGGCGTGGGTCAAATGACATCTGAATATCATCACCGAATGTTTTCACGGTAGCAACGAGAGTGTTTAAATCATCCATGAATTACGGGCGGTTGATTTTGGAGTTGCCGTTGGGTTGTCGCTCGTATCGTATGTAGGCTTTATTTTGAAGGATTGAAAATGGGTTATGTAATAATAATGATAATAATAATAATAATAATTTTATTCACGTATTAATATACAATGAAAAGGACGGTTCAGATGAACAAAATAAGATATTTAGTTTTTAAAGCTATCCTAAGAAGAAGGTAGCAGCGCTAGGCAGGAAAAATACGCTCAATACGCTTTGGAAATAATTTACAGTAGATATTACTTAAATATTTAATGATAATAATACTTCACGCAGGTGTGTGGAAAAGGTTTTGTTTAGCAATTTAAGAGGCTGATCCAAGGCATTATATGTATTAGCCATTTCATATGTAAAGGATATTGCAAAAATTCCAGAGGTGTGACGTGGAGGGGTGAGCAGGCCTTTCAATCATAAATTTAAATTTTTATTTCAAAAGAGCATTGCTATAGATTTTTTTGGATTTAATGACTTCTAGATCATTATTTATGATTTGACAGCTTTCCAAAATTTTATCTCCCGAAAACGAGTGATAAACTTGTGTATCATCTGCATACATTTGGGTTTTGCAATGCTGTATAAAACGAGGAAACGCGGACGTATGTATACAGTATAAAATTGGCCCCAGAACGGAGCCTTGAGGCACCCCAGGTATTATAGCGCGGCAGTCTGCCAATATAGACCTCGTGAAGTCGCTTTGGAATGTGCTTCTTTTGATGTTGATTTTCGAATGTATAGTTTTACTCACCAGTTTTTGATCAGGGGCTGTATACGCATTTTATTTTAGGGGCTATTATTATTATTGTTAATACTATTATTATTATTTTCATTATTTTTATTATTTGTATTATATACCTATCTATCCGACGTTTGCGGACGTATAGATACGGAAATTATACCGGAACCTCTAAAAATTTTATTGTCATGAATATAAAAGGCGAGAGCTACGCTCCGGCATCGGCACACCTGCCCCCACATCTATTATACTTTCATCCCCCGTTTTTACGACAGCATCCCATTCAATTCGCCCTTCCCTATCGTTGTTTCAGGGCACGGATAAAGAATCGCACTACCCCAACATATCGAAGCCGTACGTCAGGAGCACGGTCGATCACTGCAACTACAAACGGTACAGCACAGAGGGCTGGCCCGGAGGTACGCCGTTGTTGGAGCTGGACAGCAATCACATAGAGGGTGCCACGAAAAGCAAAGTGTCCCGGAGCAGTAGCCCAGCTGCCGAGGAGTCCATGGGGTTGACGATAAGCGAAGCGAGCGCTCCCACTTCGTGGAGCAAGAGGTTCCTGTTGGTGATGAGCGTCATATTGATATGGTGTAACCGTTGATGTTAAGTGTGTTAGGGATCTTTCAATTATCGAACCTTGGAACGTGGACAATACAATCCCGGTGTGCGTTGGTTTTGTTTTTTAAGTTATGTTTTCACTAGTCCGTTCGGCCAGCATTTAAGTTACGAGAGTGAGCGAGCTAGGATCGAGGTGAAGCGTCCGAAAATGTGAGACGGAAACGGATACGTCGCCGGTTTTATTTTGGTGGGGAGCGATCGTTTCGGAAACCGATCTTTACGTATACGGGGTGTAATAAGCCGCGATGCGCTTGATGTGATGGGTGACAGTTCTACAGTTTTCTTCAAAATTTTGTTGACTTCAACTTTGATATTTTAAATAAAACGCCCTGCATTCGGACGGCGCTTTTCGAGACGGCTTCAACGGTATATGACATGAACTTAAACTGTCATAATGACGACGGTGTTTTAAATATTTCTCAAATTCTATAAGTCCTCAGTAAAACATAAGAGTTCGTGTTGTTTTATCCTCGTAAGGGAAATTTTTGAGCCGCGGCGTTGCCAAGTCTCGCGTTTTGTACATTTACTCGATTTTTTTAAATAAGCCCTGTATACTACATAATAGTCTATTAAGATTCCTACTGTTATATGTTGTAATATACAGGGGGTGCTATTAATTTTCTCTTGTCGTGTTCATCACCTAAGAATTTCGCTTTCTTAGCATGAGACTACGTTAAATCAAGTCCCCTATGTGACGTGTATGTAAATCGGTATGACAGTTTTCGCTTGTGTCAAAAAATACCGAAATGCCGTCTGGAAACGCACTGTCCGAATATGTTAGTATAATAAGGGAACTCGTGCATTAAAACCATATACTTGAAAATTTTAAGTTAAATCTTTTGTAGGTCTTATCATTTTTCAGATGGGATAGTGGGTCATTTTATGTGGACCACGATCTACTGTGGCATGCTATGATCGAGACAAAAACTAAACTAAACTTCAACTACGCCGAACTAAATGAATCGACTGAAATGATCTAATTTAACAGTGTATATCAATTATACACGAGTTAAATCCTGGCTTTATTTCTGATTTAAAAGTTAGAACACCCTGCAGAATGCATTTTTTTTGGTCTCTCCTTACACTATCTTATTGTCACACTGACAATTTCTCCATTCAGTATGCAATGCAAGGTTACGTTTAAATTCGGCCTTGAAGGTGTGGTATAGTTACAAATTTTTAGTAGGAAGAATGTTACATTACGCTTGGGTAAGTTTCATTTGTGGTTAAAACTTTTAGTTAGTATTTCTTTTTCTAATTCTTGTATCACTGGGACCTCAATATTTCAACTAAATCATTACTATGAACCGACCACAAGCAACTCTCGTTGAACTCTGCCCTCAGTTCCATGCCCTTCCTATAACGGAAATCATATCTGCCACCAAAAATAAGTACGTGGAAGTAAACCAACAAAAAGAAATGTCAAGAAGAGGTCATTAAGTATCAAATCGAAAAGTTCAACGCTTCTCTCCATCCGCGCGGATATTGCCTTTGCTATATTTCCCGGGAATTTGTTTACAATTACGCCATCCAGAGAAATCACGGCATAAAGATCTTTAATTAACGAGCTGCTATGAAAAATTGACAATTCAAATGAGTGCGTAATCTATAAGAATACGTGTTTAAATGAAAACTTCATAATACGCCGTACGCGTGAGATAACCACTCGTATCCTCCGCGAGCGTTACGAAATTGCAATTAAATAAATTAAATTTAATTACCCCCGATGCTTTCAACTTCCGCCTACGATCATACCGATTGTTTTGCCGTTAAACGTTTTGTGATAGCCGTATCGCTAATAGAGAAAAATAACTTTTATATTATTAATTAAGATAGTTAATTCAAATTTAATTTTTGTCTCGGACGTGGTTAATCCAAAATTTTATTGACTGTGCTTTGTATTGGATTGCATGGCATTACGCCAAATATAACGGAACTGTGATTAGATATTTCGTGAAAAAATATATACAAATTTTATGTTATCATTAGAGAAGCAGCGTGGCGATAAGAGCGGCCGAAAATCTCAGGATTTAGCGGCAGCCATTTTGTTTATATGTCGCGATTGGCGCTTTGTACGCGAAGACAATCAATATTTAGCTGAATAATGCGATATTGCAGTTTGCTAGGCGATCCAACCCGCTTACCGCTGATTCTATACAGGGTGTCCGAAAATAACGCGGGAATAATTTAAGAGTAGATTCTACATGAAAGAATAAGAAAGTCAGTTTGGTTAGTGTTGTTTGTTGTGACGAGAGACTCTTTCGGGGCTAATTACATTAAAATTATACAGAACAGTGGCGTCGCAGCAACTCTTTTTTGGACAAAAGAAATGTGCGCCACTGACTTTTGTACAACTTTTAATTTTTTCCCAAATTAGGCAATTAAAATTGCGAGTTTTCTGTCTCTTGCATTTTTATCGCGTCTTTTCTAATTGTTTCTTTTATTAATATCTTTAGTCACCTTTTTCCAGATTTCTTACAATGTGTCAATTTTCTGTGTCCCTGGATCAAAATTTAAAAGTGCAGTGGCGCTCTGGGGCAAAATTTTGCGGATATATTCAAAAAAAAAAAACCGTTTGGTTCCGAACTTTACGTACTGAAGATCCACAGATCTTTTGTTGATTTCAATGTCGAAAAACCTCATAAAATTGAATCGTTAAATATGAACACACTCAGCTAAAATGAAAGGGTGCTTATAGAATAAACGCTTATCATGTTATCAAGCAAAATCCCTCTGTCTAATATTTTCTGCCTAATAACTGGAAAAAAAAACAATTTAGTTACAATGTTTTGTTATTCAATTTTAACGTTTTGAAGTAGGTCGTTTCTACTCTATAATATAAAAATCGGATTTCGTTTGTCCTGGGCGTGCAAACAGAAGTTCTTGGTCGCTCTCATTCATAGTCTTCATTCACTTTTCTTGACTCTTTTTGAATCCTTTATTATATTGTTTTAGACACCTTGATAGCGACCAGAGTTCTTGCCCCATAAAAACCCTCTCACTTTTTGAGTGGAATAGTTATTCCCTCCCGTGCTTCATTTTTCATAAATTGCGAGACCTTGTTAACGATTTCTCGTCCTCCTTTTTTATGATTCTTTAGGTAAATGAACTCTCTTATAAAAACTATGCTTGCAAAATACCACTTCAATTATTCTAACGTTATTTTCGGATACCCTGTATAAACAAATAGATGCGGATCGACTCAAATATAAACTTCAAGTTTCAGAAGACTGATTCCTCCACCAAAATAAATACCGAGACGAAGGAAATTTAAATATCATCGCGGCAAGTCTCACGCGGTCCAATCGGGTCGAATAAAACTGTAACACGCGGCAACGCTGCCAAGTTGGACAGCCGAGAAGTCGCTGATATGGTCTGTGATGTATGTAGGAAATAAGCGCATATATTTTGTAATTATGGTCCCTATAATAGCTGTAACCCGAGTAGTAGTCGCTATCGTTGTTATGCAATTCGGTTGTCGGACAATGACGATTGCTGATGCGGCGTGGAAATAGGTCAACGAGGCATTGAGTTTATATTAGAAAATTGTAGCGAAGATAAATGCGTCACAATTGCTTCCGATGGTTATAAAATTTTCGAAAACATTCGAGGACGCCGTTGTCCGACTACCGAAAACGTCTAAAAAAAAATGTACTGGGCCCCCGTGTACATTCTGTGTAAATTTTTTAAATGTATATTTGTAGTCCTGACTGGTGCTATCTATAGTTTATCCTATTGTACATGTTTCTATCGTTTTAATTTATTAATTGTATAGTTTTACTGTTGGAACTGACGATGAATGCCCCTGTACAGTGTAGATATCTTGTGTAAAATATTTTATAAATAAGTCTCAATAAATATTAGCAATAATTGAAGGGAAAGTTTTCATTCAAAATTCCGCTTCTTTCGCAACAATAATTATGGTAATAAAAATAAATAACGTTTATTGGGGTAAGCATAAACCCTTATTTATATACATAAATAACAAAGTCCCTCAAGCAAAATATACAAAACTTATTGGAAATTATAAAAAAGTAAAACACGAATTGAGACTCGAAACTTGGGACGATTTTTTAAGCAGCAACGTCATTGATAAAAGCCCCGACAATTTTATAAATGATATACAGCTTTCTCTAAAAAGAAGTCATGAGCTCCAAAGTACAAGACAATTCAGGAAAAAAATAAAAATACAAATTAAAAATATTAAGAAGGAATTCTTTCCATAAAATCAAGCCAAAAGCAAAAATAGAAATAAAATTTAGTGCAGAAAACATCGCTACTTGGCAGAGCTCAATGTTTTAAGGTGGCGTGTCTTCTTCTGATGTTGAAAAAACAATAAAAAACTTAAAGCTAAAAAAACCACTTGGACCGAACAAAACAGGAAGCTTAGAATTTGGGGAGAGGGGCGTAGGATGTGAGTTTTCCTCTTACTATTGTTACTAACCGCACACCACAGCGTATAACCATATACCTATACCGACGTAAAAGTCAGTCCCCGGATCACAGAACATTTAAACAATTGGAAACAAAACGCAGTACTCAGTCATCTTTCGAGTTACGCCCGTAACTCTTTTTTTACGAGTTTTCCTTTTAAAAATGGCGGAACGACGGGCGGCCCGATGCCCGTAAACTTTCATACATTTTTTAATGGACAATTTTTTATTGTCGCTGTTACACGCGGTTATGAATATGCATTATAAGCCATTCTACGAGATTAACGTCGTCGCCGGTGATTCCGCTTTATAAAGCCAGGGCCATTACGCGTCGTGTATATTTAGACACATTTTATAGGTACCACCGGCGAGGATAAATAATTATTGGCGGTTTTATGGTCCGCGGTTTAAGCGATGCGTTTTCCCGCACTCTTCTTGTTTTTCAGGTGCGCACGTAAATGATAGATGGCCGTTTGGTGTTTGCCGGGTCGATGCTTTTTTGTTTTATCAACTAAAGCTTCAATTTTGCTTGAATAGATATTTTTTATTTCTTTAATACATTTGCTTATGTATAGTAATAACGCATACCAAAAAATGCAATAAATAATTGAAGCTATTCCTTTTAAACGCGCGGGAATGATGGTGACGTCATACCGCTGCGATAACAAAAGCAATCGACAGCCTTATGCTACCGTCCGGATGGCGCGTCGTCTAACGAGCGAATTGACGTCACAAACGTTCTCAGTCAATGACGTATTAAAGAGAATTTGAATTTTTAATTGCTTATATTTTTTTCATAGAACTACGAAATCAGTTTTTTTTTGTGAACTGTGGTTCATTTAATAGTATAAACTTACTTTTTTTAATTAATTTTTTTCCCTATTGTGCGGTCACGTCATAGCACGACATCTATATCTCTATTTTCGTAACAATATGGGTCACAAGAGATGTTCTGCGAAAAAGACGATTTTTAATGGAATTTGATCGAAATTGACAAGAACAGAAATTGAGGTTTTAAACTTGATGCCGTTTTAGTTACGATATGACTCGGAAAAGCCGATTTTTGGTGGAAGCGATTATCCACTGTTAATCCGAGGAAGTGGATTTTGAAGTTGTCCCACAAAATGGAGATTTAATTTCAAATTTGCAGTTTCCTTGGCATTTTTATGAGCGAGCAATTTAGGTTTATAAAAATGATTAATGAGATAAGTCCTTATTAAGTCTTACGATGGTATTGATATTTCACATGGTTCATTAATTGGAAAAAATTGCTCATATCATAAACGACTGACATTTTTGAGAGGATCCATGAAAAATCACAATGGTGACTTTGCTTTCAATCCAGTGTTTTTTGGATATTTAGTAAAGGAGCTTCTAGAAAAAGACAATTTGATGAAAGTTGGACAAAGCAATCTTTCGTTGAATGACTGCAAAAAAATGAAAATTAACTTTCAGCCACGTGTAGTAAAAGACCAGCTATGGATGTTGGTGAAGCGAAGTGTTTTCCTTTTAATATGAAATTATTTCAACGTATAATCTTTTTAGAATGGACAAGTTAACAATGGAACGGTACTTACTTGGTAGCAACATACGCAGATGCGGATCATTTTTGATTACTACACGTGACGTAACTGCTCTGACAACAACAAGCATTTTGTCATAGCATTGACGTCATCATAAGGCGTCATGCGCCAGACTTAACGAATGACTTTGCAGCATTTAACAAGGAACTTGATCACCTAATGATGTGCCTACATACAATAGTTGAACATTTTTCATTTATTTTTTTATCACAATCAATGATTTAAACTAATTTCCTCATAAATTCTTATTTCTATGATAAAACGAAAAAAAAGAAAATTGACTCCGAGTCCGATATTACTATTTGTAAAGTTTAATTTGACAACATCGCTGCCTTTCGAAGTGGCAACGCCTACTTGTAGCTTTTTTTCTCTTAAAGCGCCTATTAGTTTCGAATGTTTTTCACTTTTACTGATATTCTGATCTTGTTGGCTGCTGTTAGGAAGAGCTCGGTGATACCGTGAAAGAACCATTTTCCCAGGTTGATAAGCTTTAAAGTTACCTGCTGGTAATCGTATTCTTTATTTCCCCTCTCCCTTTTCTTCTCACTCCCTCTCTCTTTCTAGCTCTTTATTACACTACTAACTGATAAAAATCTTTAATGAAAAGGAGAATATGTGGAATATCTTTATAGCGACGGAAATAATAGTAATCTACAGCATTTCAAGATATGATCCGCAATTGAACCCAATCTTTTGCTGGCTTACTGTCTATTCAATATTATGTTGGCAGGCGTGTATTTATAGGTTACGAGCTGAATTTCGAACAAGCCGTATCGAATTTTCACGTGCCTATTTCAATTTGCGCGGCATTATTAGAACGAGTTCCGCTAAACACTGGAAATATTTGGAATAGCTATGTCTGCACTAGAGCAAAATACCGCGCATACTTATTGCGAATCCCATATTCCGCTAATTTGGCGAATTAATTACGTACATCGTACCATCAGCCGAGAATGTCCCGAAAAAATCGTATAAATTGCATAAAATCGCGTTTTAATGGATTCCGTATGGTACGAAAGGGCGTATCCCATTCCCCGACTGTTGTCCGATTCGTTTTTTTCATCGAAAGGCGTCTTATAATAGTGATGAATGCAACCTTTCATAATAACCGGAGCGGCGTGTAAAATACGGACTTAATTTTAACCCCGTCCCTCTTTTATTCGAAAAGTCACACTTAATTACGAAGGTATCATCGACCTAGGGGCACTATTAACCGAGGCAGGGGCGCGGATTTATTTTTTTCGGATGTTCAGCAAATGAAACAACTATTTAACTATGATTATATTTATATTACTTGACGCCTATGGAAATTGAAATTTTGGATAATATTAGTATTGATGATCAAAATGTTACGATAGGGGCTACTTTAATTACGAAATTCCTAAATAAGATTTTAAAGAATTTTAATCTATTGCATCTTTGAAAATTTTATATCTCGGGAACGGTAGGTCCTACGGGATCGCCGTTACTACAGAAATGATGGTCGTCTGTTTGTCCGTTCTCCGTTCTCGTCTTTTGGTTTTTCCTGAATAACTTTGGAACCGTTGGAGCTACAAAATTGAAATTTGTTTCCTTTTTAACCCCCCGCGAGCCAATAACAAATGGGCCTGATCCGACGCCGGTATATATTTTTTCTTGATTTTCGACTGTGTTTTGGGGTCCACAAAAAACATCATTTTTCAAAAACTGTTTAAGAGTATAAAAAAAATCTTAAACCAGAAGACGCAGAAGATACGGCTCTATAAACCTTTGTTCTTGACGATTTTACAATAAAAAGAACTGATAGACTTAAGAATTAATTGTGACCATGAGTCATTGCGTACTTTTTTGAAGAAAATGAATTTTCAGTTCCAAATAATTAATAAACGTCCGATGCTTCATTATTTATATATTTGATATTCTGAATATTACTAATGATCCTATGTAGAAACGCAATAAATTGTTACTTTGTCCTAATTTTTTTATGGACATATTGCCTGAATTATGAAAGCACTATATTTTTGGTCGAAGTATACCCTTGTCAATTTTGTCGTCTTACTCGCGACTGCTGACATAAAAAACGAATTCGTACAATTACTACAACTGCAAAAAAATGAATTTTTGCAGTTGCAGTTGGCTTCGGGCTACGCGCTACGAACTTTCCCCGCCCAGTGACGATTTTTCGAAAGCAATAGGGCGTGTTTGAAATTTCATACACATTTTTCACAATCTCTTTTGCATCAAACGACTAATGATTTCACGCGACTTCGCTGTATTCTCAAAAAATAACTTTTTCGAAGCGCACTGTAAAATCGTCACTCAAGTAAGAATACATTTTTTGTTAACCGCTTTACCCAATAATAATGAGTAATAACATCCTCGAAAGTCAAATTTTTGTAATAGTTTTATTGGGCTTCTATTTTTTTGAAAACAGATAAATTTAAACTTCTGCAGAAATGAGGGATGCCCATTTCGAAAAGTCAATTTTCC